GGTCAGTTATCATGGGAGTGGGCAGCTTATAAAAGACTGAGTTTGACCCCTTCCCCTGTGTCTCCCGTGCATGCTTGCCTTTCCATTTTTGCCATGGGGAACACAAGAAGAGGTCCTCACCAGATGCAAAGTGGAGGCTCGTGCTGTGCCATGGACTTCCCAGACTTAGAACCACCAGCCAATTAAATTTCCTTTAGATACCACTCAGTTTCCAGTGTTCTACAACACAGCAGAAAACGGCACCTCTGACTTACAGTTTTGTCTGCCAAGGTTGCTGTGAAAGTCAAGAGACGCTTAGAACACCTACAACAGCATGCTATAATCTGAAAATGCTATTTAAATTTAAGAACTGTGAGACTGTACAAAACTCTCAAGGGTTTAATATCTTTGTTAACCTAGGAAAGAGGAACAAATTTCACTGGGATGTACTTAACAATCACACCAGATCTGGAGGGCTTCATCAGTTAAGAGCAAATCAGAACAAATCAATGAGAAAGGTACGAACAAAAAAAAATAAGCAAACTCAGAGAATCCCTGTCTCTAAGTAAAATACAAAATAGGGCTGGGGATGTGGCTCAGAGGCCTGATGTCCCCTGAGTTCAATCCTCAGTACCAAAAAAAAAAAAAAAAAAATCTAAAAACAGTGGTTCCAAAGGATGTGGGAGTCACACTTGGATTCCCACCAAAGATCACATCTTTCCCAGCTTTGTCATGTACCAGCCCCTGATATCAAGGTTATAGCAGATGAATTTGGGTTATAGGGACTGAAAAAACTAAGCTCAATAAAAAAAAATGCATGACAGACAATCTGTCATCTAAATGTGTATTTGCATTCATATTCTGCTTTTCTATGGATTTATAAACACAGAGAGTCTCTCTCTAAAATATATTTGAGGAATATAATTTAAGCAAATAATAAAACTTGAAGTCAATGTTTATCAACACAGTGCTGAGCAGAATATGTTCTTTTCTGTATTTGTATAATTACTAAGTTGCAAACTTCTTTCTGTGTTCAAATGTGATCTTTTCACTTTTGGATGCTTGTGCAGTGTAAATGTCAGATGATTCTTGCCACCAGTGAAGTACAAAAATGCAACTCCAAAATTCCTGGCTTCTCTTACATAAATCTGTTTTCTTCTTCTTCTGTTGAGAATTCTCTGCTGCCTTTGTCCCTGGTCATTCAGATATTTACTATCACACTATACTAAAAATAATACTGCATTCTGCATTAGTAAGGGTTATTTGTCATATACATCTTAGCCTGAATTTTACCTAACAAGACATTTTCCCCAAAGACATTTGTCTATGAACTTTTTTAATGGAAGAGAAAACTTTGTTGTTTATTAAAACAACCACATGTAACTTTCCTTTCTATGTTTCTTTTCTTTTTTTTTCTTTTCTTTTCTTTTTTTTTTTTTTTTTGGAGAGGATACACTCCTCCTCCTGATACCACCTCCTCTGAATCACACCAACATGACCAATCATCGTTGACCTCACACAAGTGAGTCTTTTGTGTAAGAAGGGGCAGAGCAACCTGAAGGCAGGATAGGGGGCATAGCATTTATTACCCCAGAGTCTGCAACACTTAGGTAAATAGCACATTTGAATAGATAAACTTGTTATATGTACCAACATAGTATATTACTTTGAAAACCAAAAATAAGTAAAATTCCACCAGAACAAATGTTGTCACAATGGTCCATACTGAAATAATAACCTGCTGTATTAGGAGAGGCAGAATTTTCTCCCCCAGTATGATTTCCACCCTGATGCATGCAAATACATTTTATCACTAGTCAAAGAGAGAGGAACTGCAGGTCAGAGAGTCAGAAACTGCATCTTTTCAAATAGTCTTTTGCTTTTGAACAATGTTCCATTTGCAAATGCATTCTATCCATCCATCTTTATTTCTATTTTAAATATAATATATATAGATTCTACACATATATATGAATATATATCACATACATATGCAGAATTATATATTATATATATATATGTAGAATCTATATAGATTCTATAAACTGCAGAGAAAACTACTATAATGAAAGTTAACACATTCTTCAAATCTGACCATCTGGGTCAAAAATATATTAGCAATTTTAAAAGTTTGTTTAAATCTCACACTCTACTTTTATGAGTAAATAATAGACAAGTGTCTCTAAGTCATTTAGAATGTCATCTTGTACACTTAAACACCTATAGGTTTTAATATAACTTCCTTAGAATTGAATGAGAACAAAAAACAATTGTTCTATAAAATGTTAATTTCTAAAAATTAAAAGACAACACGTATTCAAAACTAAAGTTTCTGCATGTGGCGCTCCCTGATCTAAAAGCACACATCTATGTAATCCCCACAATCTGGTCCTTTAGCATTCTTGTATCTATATCATTTTTATTTGACATACAACTCTAATTTCTAAATTAGACACAGAGTTATACTGAAAGGATCCCTTGCTCAAGACCAGCTGTTTGGCCAGGGCTTATGCGTTGTTTATTTTCATTTTCTTATCACTGACTAGATGGTGTCATTCATGTTTCTGAAGTGTGTGTGCCTAATACAACCAGAGGCCCCGATGCACTGGGCAAGTCATGGTCTTCAGTCGTATTTCCTTCCAAATTTCCTTCCAAATTTCCGAAAGCAACACTTTCTGACTTGGCTTCCTTGCATTAACATTGTTGCTGATTTTTCAGCATCATGACAGGTATTTTAGGGCATGTGCTATCCTCTTGGCGCCTGGACTATGTGTTATTTCCTTTATCTTTTACATTTTGTTGTAGCTTTCCTATTGCTGGGAAAGTCTGCAGCATTAGTATTGGGGGATGGGCAGCTTCTTGTTTCATGTTTTTCTATCAATATTCATTTTTTTTGTTGTATCCAGTATCTTTTATGGAAGAAGAATAAACTAACATCTCCATTACATCAGCATCTTCAAGCAGAATTTCTGGTCACAAATAGTAAGAGTTACTTGCCAACTATCTCACACTCATCAAAGATGAGCTAACTAACAATGTCATTAAAGCAGACCTGCCATGTTGTTATCTACATCCCTCTGTTTTGCCTGTGTCTCTCTCTCCCCAAGTCTTATTACTGATTAAGGGCTTGTGTTAGTCAGCTATTTTGCTGCTGTGATTTAAAGATCTGATCTGAAAATTCTTAGAGGAGGAAAAAATTATTTAGTTATCAATACACATACAGCAGACTCCATTCTTCAGGGCTCAAAGTGAAGCTGAACATCATGCAGGAAGAATTTGGCAGAGGAAAGCAACTCACATGATAATTAGAAAGCAGAGAGAGAGAGAGAGAGATCTCCACTTGCCATACACAACTATCTACCCCAAAGGCACACCTCCAATGCCCTACCTCCTCCAGCCACACCCCTCCTTCCTCAAGTTCCCACTCAGTTAATCTCATCAGGCGTTAAATCACTGATTGGGTTAAGACTCTCACAACCCAACCATTTCTCCTCTGAACCTTCTTGCATTGTCTCACACGTGAGCTTTGAGGGGACACATCACATCCAAACCATAACAGGTCTCTTCACACCTCTGTAAATTTCTGTAAATGTTCTTCTGGGTACAGTGGTCTAGCTTTCCATATCTATATTCTGCCCCCTTTTGGTCATACTCAATCATTCCTAACTTCTTTTCTTTTTCTGATGCTATTTTATTACTTTTCCTCTTCCTCTGAGAAAACTTCCTCCAGATTTTCTCTTTCTCATGTTGTTTGTTAATGTTCCTTTCTCTCCTTCCTCTGTCCCTTCTTCCTACTCTTCTATATTTATTCCCTTTTACTTTATGGATCTTGAATTGGCTATGGTTTAATACTATTTTATTATTTAGTACTTCCTGTTTTTCCAAATCAAATTATGATAAAACTGACAAAAAATTTTTCATATTTATAATCTAAAACATGATGCTTTGCTATATGTGTACATTACAAAATGATTAGCCTAAGCTAATTAGTAATATCCACCTCACTTAGTGAACATTTTCTGTGGTGAGAACACTTAAGACCTACTCTCCAAGCAGTTTCCATATTAAAAAAAAAAAAAAACAGTGTTACGAGTTAGAAACCATGGTCAACATGCTCTTCAACAATCCACAGGGCTTATTCCTTCTGTTTAGCTTAAGTATTGTCCCTTACCAATCAACATTTTTCCCCATTTTCCCCACCCCTCCCCAGACCTGGCAACCTCCATTCAAATTTTTTAACTGAATCAAAATGGTGATCAATTACTATTTGATCAATTAGTACTTACCCAAGACCAATTAATATCAATTAGTATTTACCCAAGAAAATATTGCTTATTTATTCTTAAAATTGCCATCTATTGATAGTTCTATCAGTATCCCTTGGAAGTGAATTTTCTGTGTCTGCCTCTCATTGTGTTTCTTTACTCTTTATGAAATGCTGTCAACTTTGAAATTGACAATAGCTAAGGAATACTGTGATTTTAAAGTTCAGAATTCAAGCAAATGTGTAACTATTTTTTATACAGCTTTAATATCAAAGCTGTGCACTGGAGGGAAAATCGTAAAGGTCTCATTTTTAGTTATCTATATTTTCATACGAAGCTGTTCACACATTAATAAAAAAAGAACAATATCTCTGTATATATAGTACTATTTTTCATACACGGTACACATATTAGGAGTCAATTTTAAAAATATTGTTCTCAATGATTTTCTGATTAAAAAGAATTTCCTTAACTCAGAATGTTTATATTACTTTGACTTTGGTGACACAAGGGACTTCAAAATTCTTACCCTTTGACTTATCATCTCCACTTAAAGCCTAGATTTCCCTCTGTTATTCTCCAATAGTGGCTCTATGAGAAGTTCCCTGTGTTTGTGGGTCTTCTAGTAGAAAGGCAAGAAGGACTTGGGTGCCTACTATGTGCTGTTATCCAATGATACACATTTTAAAATGTAGTCATAAAAATCACATTTTTATTTAACACATTTATTAGAAAAGGAATGAAAATGTGCCTTACCCCCTCGCTTGTTGATCTTGGCATAGCCTGGAGAATAGCTGCTGGACATGGAGGAAGAGCTGCTGAAGGCTACATGGGGAAGCCCAGAGACCAGTGGCTCATCACATTTTTCTGAAAAGAAAAAAGAGATTCAATTAAGCTATCATCATCATCATCATCATTTGCAGTATTGGGAATTGAACTTGAGGAGCTCTAGCATTGAGCTACCTCACCAGCCCTTTTAATTTTTTAAAAAAATATTTATTTTTTAGTTTTAATTGGACATAATACCTTTATTTTTTAATTTTTTATATGGTGCTAAGGATTGAACCCAGGGCCTTGCACATGTTAGGCGAGGTCTCTACTACCAAGCCACAACCCAGCCCCATATTTTTTTAATTTGTAATGTGTTTTCACTAAGTTGCTAAGGTTGGCCTTGACTTGTGATCCTTCTGCCTTAGCATCCAGAGTTGCAGGGGTTGTAGGCATGTGCCAACATGGCTGGCCAATCAAACTCTCTAAATAATGATTGATATGCACTTGCTAAAATAAGTTTTGAATAATGTACAAACACTAAAATCCATAAATGATATTTGACAAAGGGTCAGAATTTGGGTGACTTAATTATGATAATTATAAAATGTCACAGAAGCAATTCTATCTTATGATTTTCAGGAGTAGAACTATGGCAAAGTACATTGTTCCTAAGGAGCCAAATTCACACTTGTTATCTTAAAACTGCAAGAAAAATTGAGGATGTCTGCACAACAAAATTTGGTATCTCGTATCTCCCAAGAAAATTAGAAATGGAGGCAAGAATGACAAGGAGGAATTTTATCAAACCTACAAAAGTAACAAATAGGAAGTTGCCAATCAGCATGTATAAAATTCCAGATGAGTAAGTTCACAAGATGAGTAAGTTCTAAAGGTCTGATGTGCGCACCCTGTGCATATAGACAATAATACTGTACCATAATTTTTTGAAAGTGTGTTAAAACAGTAGATCTCATGTTAAGTGTTCTTATAAATGAATTAGAAAAAAGAAATAGATATCCCTAAGGTAGGACACAGAATAATCGCTACTTAAAAATATTCACCATCAGAAAAATCAATCAATCTTCATACTCAACTAGTCAATGGCACTCTAAGCAAGTGATACCTGAATTCTACTGTAACACTTTCTGTACTTGGCTATTAAAGTGCTATTATAATGTCCTCCACCACCACCCCCTTTTAGCTGCTTGGTCTCTGATTCCTTTGATGGGTCTCTCACAATTTCTTAAAGTCTACATTTTCCTAAAGTAAAGTGGCCAGGGACAGCCTTTGGCTTGCTGCTCAGTCCACCCTTCCATCTCTGGGAGACTGCATCGAGGACTCTACTGCTTGTGCAAGATGTTCTCAAATCCTATGTCTCCCCTGACTTCTAAAACAACAGACCTAGTCCAAAGTGATCACCATTGTAAGACTGTCTAGCCTTGCTGCTTGCTCTAGGGGTGATCCTTTAGCACAGAGCAGCAGAACAGACACTTATGAAAATGTATTTGGAAATGTGACTACAGCTAATCTGAATGGTAAATTTTAACAATTAATATGAAACATTCACTTTACAGTCAAGGTTGACGAAGTGGCCCTTCCAAAATAAGTTTCATGCATCTCTTCCTTCTTTTACTTTTAACTTACTGTGGCAATAAAATCACATATACATGCCATATTTCCCAGAGACACTTGCTATCTAACTATGAAATATAATAAATCAAACTATATTCTGTGAGAATGGATTTGTTCATCTGAACTTCAGATTTGTACACATTTGAATGGATGTGATAATGAATAATGGGTCATATCTCCAGCACCCTGGGACCTAATTCCATTATGTCCAGGTGACCCTGGCTTCTGTTCTCCATCACTTGGAGACAGTCTGAAGCCATGGCTTGACCTACAGTGGCCGATCACATTCTTGTCCTTTACTGTCCAGACAAACAGTCCACTCTTGCTGATGGCTTTACTATTCCTATTCTGAATAAGAGAAGACTCATGCCACTTATCAAGACTGCAAAGACGCTTTGCAAGGAAGGAAGGAAGGAAGGAGAGAAGGAAGGAATAAAAGGAGGGAGGGAGGGAAGAAAAAGGAAGCGACATCCCTAAGGGAGAACATAGAACAATGACCATCTAAAAAGTTACTGTCAGTCGAAATATTCATGTCTGTGGCTGAAACCGTGCTGCCATAGCATCTACTCTCAATCCACCTCATCCACCTTCCCAGCACTCAGTACCATCATGTGAGACTCATGTAATTGTTTCTCTGCTCTTCTCTCCCACTAGCCTGTGAGCTCTATGGAAATACAGTATTTGATGATTTGTCAACGCTTCAGTGATCTTGGTACTGGGTACAAGCTCTAAATTCACATGTAAAATAAATGAATAAAAAAAAGAAAAAAAATGTAAACTTTACAAACCTCTAAGTCTAGAAGCACATTGTCAACGTGCAACATGGCACACGAGTTAATTTTTAGAAAGGTAATTTTTATTTCCAAAATATGTTCACATATGCTCAGAACTCCATTCCATAAGATAAGGAATTGAACTTGATATTCTAGAATGATTCTTATCTCAGATAAACAGAAACATGTTTATCAATAGAAGGAATAAACTATTTGTTTTAAAAATTCACTTAAGTGTAGTTAAGTCCCCAAAGACACCAGAGAAATGAATTATTATTATTTCACCATTCAAGTATGTACCAATCTGAAGTCAAAATGAACAAATCCATTCTCCTAAAATATTGTTAGATTTCTTATTTTTCATAGACTGCAAGTACCTCCAGGAAAGATGGCAGGTATGTGTCATCATATTCCCCACAAAGTTCAATGTAAAAGACTGAAAAAATGAGCACAAAATTGTGTTTTTAAAGTAATCAGTCCACAAGTCTATACTACAAAGTGAAAAATTTCATGTTCATTGTTAAAATTTACTATAAAATAGTGGTCAACAATATACATCTTTGATTCTTTTTTCTATTATCTGATTCTTTCAAGACCAAATTTTATATTGTTGGCTTAAGTTCTCATTTAACCACAGTGACCATTGCTTGTAAGATTCCCATGGTTGTGCTAATATTCACTCACTTCTCCCTTCTCATTCAGGCATGAGTCCAGCCTGCTGGAAGGGCAGGAGCACATGAAATCCACATGTTCTGCCCTGTGCAGCCAATGGTGTAGTGTCAAGAAAGTGACCAAGAACACAAAGGCACATTCATTGTTTGAGGTGGGGAGGGGCACTACAAAGGAGCTTGACTGTGAAAGGGCCTGGGGAAAGGGCTGTTGTCCCAGGGGTCTGGTCCTTGTCAAGGAAGCATCAGAGTACATATTGACCTGATGGAAACCAGGAGCTGAGCATGAACAGGAACATGCTGGGAGCATCTTTTTCTAGTCTGACCTATACCTTGCCTATTTGACTACCTATACTTGCATTAAAAGTAACAAAAATGCAGTTGATAAAGAATTAATTAAATGATTGATTTACTTAAAAATAAAGCATTTTTAAAACTTAAAGGTAGTTCATTCTTATTACATTTAATTAAAATTGACTTATGTAAAAAATTAGTATTTTAATACCAAATAATATTTTTTATTAATTTTAAACCTCAGTTAGAAATACATTTAAAAATTATGTACTTCTGAGTTATAAAAATTAGAATAAAATTGACATCAGGAAAAAGCAGAGCACATTAGAGAATGCTTTTTTTGTGAAAAGTAACTATCAAATTATCAGAATTTAAACATTGGCAACCTCATAATCTCCTTAATTGAAATATAATATATAACCATAAAATTAAGTAATTAAGTAAATGTTACATTTACACACTTTCTCCTAGAGGATATTACTAGAAATATTTATTGATATCTGTTTGCTTTGTACTTTTTAAAAAGTACACATGTATTATTTGCAAATATATATGTAAATATACATAAAATGAGATATGTGTGTGAATGTGTGGGGTGTGTGTGTGTGTGTGTGTGTGTGTGTGTGTGTGTGTCTTCACATTTTCCATTTCCATAAGTGGCAATAATAGAAGGACCCTCATAAGGTGATACAACATAAAACAACAAGAGAATAACATCAAATTGTAATTAAATGCTAAATATAATATAATCAAATACCAAAATAACGTATAAATTAAAAAAATGCTAGGCTATTGCCACAGGTGAGTTGCTTGTTAGACCTCATTCCATCATAAAAGTGTGACCTTGAATATGTCAACTAAACTCTTTCCTACAGAGGACTCCCACATCATAATGAGGAAATTGAGCTCATTTTCTCTCAACCCCTGAAAACTCTAAGAAATGTCTAGAACAGGAGTCAGCAAACTGCGACCTGCAGGCCAAATCCAGCCCTTGCTGCTTCTGTAAGTAAAATTTCACTAGGAGCTCAGAAGCACTTATTCATTTATGCGTTTGTCTATACTGCTTTCAAAAATGGCCGGATGCTGCAATACAGACCAGATGGCCTGTAAAACTAAACACTGTCTGACCTTTCATGGAAAAATTTTTGCAGCCTCTAGCCTTGTTTGACAAATATTCCAGGTATTTGGGAATAAGAATAATTAGCATTTTTTCTATGTGCAGGTTATTTGACATTATGTACAGGTTATCTGACTGTGTTGTCAGATAATGAATCAGAACTGGAGATTAGAGGATCTATAGATTGGTGAGCAGGTGGTACTGAAAAGAACATTAGAGGCCACAGTGGGCATACAATCCCAGAGATGTTTGTAGCCCCACTGCATGCGTATGCACGCTGCCATGGTGACTCTCAGGATGAACACCCCGTTTTTATTTCCAGCTGTAATAACAGTTCTTACACATGATATTTTCTAAAGTGCTAGCTGGCTTTTTATGATAGAGCATGCTACCTCAAAATTCTGCAGACATTAAATATTAGAAAATCAGGCAAACCTCTGGAGAAAGTAGAATTTTGATAGAGTAGTAAATAAAGGAGGAGATAGAGACAGACTTGAAATAACTTGGTATGGCATTCTCCCACGCTGGGATGACTTCCACACAGCTATGGCAAATATTTGGTCTCCAATGCACTTCCCTTCCAGGGAATCTTGGATGAAAACTAGAGGAGCA